AAAAAAAAAAATGAATATATCCATGAAAAATATGAATATATTCATGAAAAATATGAATATATTCATGAAAAATATCAATATATTCATGAAAAATATGAATATATTCATAAAAATATGAATATATCCATAAAAAAAAAATATATATATATAAATAAATTTATACATATTTATTTACATAAAAAATGTAAACGTAAATCATAAGGAAAAGCACATAGAAAAATAAAAGAAAATATTATACTTTATAAAAAATATAATAAAAATGTGTTTGTTCACATAAAGTTTCTTATTCATAGATTAATAACTCCTGTAAGCAAAATATATTGTAATTCAAATTATATACTTTTTTAAGTCATACTGCTTTATAAAGCCTTCTAATGATTTCTTCACTTTTTCTTTATCAATAACTACAGTTTGGTTAACATAATTGTAAACATCATAATTAATATCCTCCATAATTTTTTCAATAATTGTATGCAATCTACGCACTCCAATATTCTCAATATAAAAGTTCATGTCATGAGCAGCATTTGCAATAGTTTCTATGGCATCTTCAGTAAATTGTAAATCAATTCCTTCTGTTTTTAGTAAAGCTATATTTTGCTGTATTAAATTATTATGAGTTTTAGTCAATATTTCAATAAAATCTTTAATAGTTAAGCTAGATAAAGTAACATGGACAGGTAATCTTCCTTGTAATTCATTTAACATGTCGTTTGGTTTGACTCTTTGAAATGCTCCTGATGCTATAAATAAAATATAATTAGTATTTATATTTCCATATTTTGTGTTTATTACGCATCCCTCAATTAATGGTAGTAAATCTCTTTGAACTCCTTCAGCACTTGCATCAGGGCCATTATATGAAGAATTTGATTTAGAACATATTTTATCAATTTCATCAATAAAAACAATTCCTTCTTCTTCAACTGAATTAATAGCTGTTTTTAAAATAACTTCTTGATTCATTGAAGAGTCAATTTCTAGTTGCAATAGTTTTTGCTTAGCTTCTCTTATAGTCATTGTTTTTTTATCATTTTGTTTATTAATATTTTGATGTATAATTTTTACACTTTTTATATTTTGATGGTTACTTAATGCTTCTTTTACAGCATTTTCGACAGAATCATTGGAAAAAATATTATTATTTATATAATTCGGTATATCTATACTTATCACTTTATCATCTAATGAACCATCTCTTAAATATTTTCTCCATATGTTTTTTTCTTCCTCTTTTATATTCCCTAATAAAGAATATAAAATAATATTTTCTACAGTTTCTTCAGCTTGTTCTCTTATCTCTATTTCAAATTTTGTTTTTTGTCTTTTCACTGCTATCTCTACTAAATCTTTTATAATTTGATCTACATCTTTACCATGAAAACCAACTTCTGTAAATTTTGTTGCCTCTACTTTTATAAATGGAGCATCAACAAACATAGAAATTCTTCTAGCTATTTCTGTCTTTCCTACACCTGTAGGACCAATCATTAAAATGTTTTTAGGAATTATATCTTTTTTCATATCTTCATCTACTTGAATTCTTCTCCATCTCTGTCTTAATGCATTTGCTACGACTTTTTTTGCTTCAGTTTGTCCTATAATGTATTTGTTTAAATATTCCACAATTTCATGGGGATATAAACATTTTTTATTTGATTTAATATTTTTCATCTGGAAATTGATATTTTCATTTCCTTTTTTTGTATTATCTTGTTTTTTGGTTTTTATTTCTTCTTTTTCATTTATTTCCTTAACATTCTCTTCATTAATCATATTTTCCTTTAAATTTTTTTCATTACTTCCTATATTATCATCTTCAGTAAATATTTTATTTTGGTTTTTTCCTTTTTTTGATTCTTTTTTTATCTCATTTATATTTATTATATTTTCTTTAGTGATCTTTACCTTAGAACAATTTTCATTATTATTTACGTTTTCACTTTCATTATATGAAGAAACTTCTTTATAATTTACTTCATTTGTATTTAAATGACTTACTTCTTCATCTTTAATATTATTGTTATTATTAATATTATCTATAGATTCTTTCTCATATTCATTTGCTTTATTTTCTAAATTTAAATTATCATAATTTACTTCTTTTAAATGATTTCCATATATTTCTCCTTGATCATCATTTTTATCTTTTTTTCCTTCTTTATATTCATTTAATGAATATCTTTTTTTTTTCCCAGTGGAACCAAATATTTTTAGTTCATCATTGTTTAATAATTTATCAGAAGATTTGTTTATAACTTTTTTTTTATTTGCTTCTATGTTTTTTTTATTATAACTTTCTATTATCATTAATTTAGAATTTTTATCATTATTTTTAAGATCATTTTTTCTACTATTACTTTTATTTATATTTGTATTTTCACTATTCTTATAAGTTATTTCAATTAATAAATCATGGTTTTTTTTATTAACATTAAAACTATTTTTATACTTTGTACTGTTATATGGAGTTAATATATTTTCACTATTTATTTTATTTATTGCTTTATTGAATTCTGTAATATTTGTAGTTAACTTTGTCATTATATTTTCATATCTACATTTTATTGTATCATTTAATATTCTTCCTTTATTGGCATTTATATAATTTGACATTAGATCATATCCTTCTTTCCCATTTCTTATATTTTTTAAATATTTTAAATTAAAATAAGGATATTTTTTCTTTTTATTCAAAATATTAAATAACTTAATAAATTTACGAGCATCAAGATTTTTCATTCTTCAAAATTTTAAGAGATAAAATAGTGTATTATAATAATGTGCTTATATAACTAATTTATTAAAAAAATGTAGGAAAAAATATTAAAAAAAAAAAAAAGAAAGAAATGTAAGCTGAAGTAATAAACACTATCTTTAATATAAAAAAAAAATTAAAAAAATATATTTTTCATAAAAAGCAAAAGAGAATTTATATTACAACAATAAAAAAATATTCACAAAATTTTATCAAAAAAAATAATGAATGACATATATTTAAACAAAATTTTTTTATATCTTTTTTGTTAATTTTTTTTTTTTTTAATTATTTATTATGAAAATTATAATTAATATTCTTATTATTTTGTTAATTTAATTCCAAACTTATATTTTTTTTTTTTTTTTTTTTTTTTTTTTTTANATTCACAAAATTTTATCAAAAAAAATAATGAATGACATATATTTAAACAAAATTTTTTTATATCTTTTTTGTTAATTTTTTTTTTTTTTAATTATTTATTATGAAAATTATAATTAATATTCTTATTATTTTGTTAATTTAATTCCAAACTTATATTTTTTTTTTTTTTTTTTTTTTTTTTTTTTATTTAAAAAATATTTTGTATTTTTGCACATTAAGTATAAAATATTTCTACATATTTGTGAATAATGCATATTATTTTATTTCATAAAAATTTCATTAAAAATTTTTTTTTACTTTTAATAGGAAAATATTTAAATATTCTTTAAATGTCAATAATTAGAAATGTATAAAATTTAATGGTTTTTTTCTTTAATAATAAAAATTATATTATTTTTTTTTTTAAGTTCATTTAAAAAATATAAAAATGGTTTACAATAATTTAATTTTGAATATTACATAAAAGAAATATTTTTCATTAAAAACATGTGAACTCAAGAATATTGATTATCTAAATTTTATGAATTTAGCTTTTATTATAACAAGTTATACAATTATTTTACAAAACTAAAATGAAGAATATTTTAACATTACCTTATTAAAATTTTGGTCTTTGTTGATTAATAAAAGAAATTTTATTGATTTAAAGCAATTTATTTGTATAATCTTAAAAAAGAATTTAATCAAATTATAAGAAATGTAATATTAAACTAAGTTAGGAATTTATTTTTTTTTTATATACATATTTATATTCTTTTTTTATGTTTTCCATTATTTTTATTATATTTTTGTTTTTTTAAATTCTTTAATAATAATTGTTCTTTATATAAAACCATTTAAATAGTATTAATTTCAGCAGTATCCCACATTTTTATTTTTTAAAACATTCTATTTTTTTAATGATTATATATTTTTTTATATAAATTTTGTTCTAAAAGTTCTCATAATAAAAAAGATATAAAAAAGAAGAACTATTATATATATATATATATTTTATATTATAAAAATGGATGAATTTAAAAAAAAAAAGAAAAATAATTTAAAAATATTTATCTATTTTATCATTTACAATATAGTTGATTTATTAACAAAAATGTACGAATAACCTTTAAAAAAGGAAAAAAAAATTGTGATATTTTACTCGTAATTTTATAACCTTAATTTTTTTTAATTTATAATTAAAAATTATTGAAAAGTTGGAACTTTATAATAACTTGTTGGTTGCTATAAAAAAAAAAAATATGTTTTTTTTATTAAATAAAAATGATAAAAAATTATTTAATTATTATTTTCTCCTTACATGTATACAACTATAATTTATGCTATTTTGCAAATCATCCATTTCATATTCTTTATAAAACATTTTAATGTTCTCATCAATATTCGAAAACATTTGCTGAAAAAATAAAATAAAAAAAATATAAGTAAAATATAATAAATAATACAAAATATAATATCAATTTAATCAAACTTGTAATCTTATTTTATGTCCAGGTAGCCAGTGCACTTGATTAAATTCCTCAATATCATCTAAAACATGGACATTTAAATATAATAGCGATTCCATCTAATTTAAAAAAAAAAAAATATAATTTTGTTATCATATATCTTAAAACTTTCTTCAAAATAGAAATTTATACTTACACTATCAAAACCAACATTGATAAAATGCTTAGCTATTTCAGTTGTTAATTTTTGGCTTTTAAAAAATTCTATAACTATTTTTTTTTCTTTTTCTAGTTCTAAATCTACAAAAAGAAAAATTCAAATAAAAATGTAGAAAAAAAAAAAAAAAAAAAAGAAAAACGTAATTTCAACAAATTACCTACATTCCACACATGTGCAAAACCTTTTAAATGTGAGGCATAATTTTTACATAAAAAGTCAACCATAAAATGTATAACATTTTTTGGTTGTTGTTTATCAATCTCCTTAAAAAATAAGATAGAATAAAATAAATATTATTTCAATAAAAGTAATATTAATTTATTTTTTCTTTTTCTCAATTTAAAATATAATATCAAGAAATACCTCTGATAAACATCCTAGAAGTTTTGAAACTTCTTTTCTTGAATAATTTTTAGGTGGCATCTAAATAGTGAAAAATTTTAATTACATTATTTATTTATTAAAATATATATATATATATATATATAGAATTTTATTTGCATAGAAGTGAAAATGAAATATTTTCTTTTTTTATCAATTAACATTTAATATTTTTCTAATTAGAAATTTATATAAATTAGACTTTTCAATGTCTAATAAAATATTCTTTATTATGAAAAATAATTATAATTTTGTAATACTTAAATTAACATTAAAAATGTTAAAATAAATATATAAAGTATAAGTTTCATTATTTTTCTTTTTTTATTGGTTTTAAAAAATTCAATCATTTACATAAAATCATATATATTTTATCAACTGTATAATTCAAATGGATAACTTCAAAAGTTAATATATTGCAATCTATGAATTTTTTATATAAAAATAGGAAAAAATAAAAAAATTAGTAATAAATATAAAAAGAAAATTAAATATTTCTTACTTCTTTATTACTTCTTTCCATATATATGTTAATATTTACTTTTTATCTTTCAAAAATGACTTTTTACTCTTCTTTTGTATTTTTTTTTTTAAATAATTTTTATAAAAAAAGTTTAACACCTTAAAACAGTTTCTAAATTAATAAATAAACTAAAATATTTCAATATCTAACATCTAAAAGATTTTTTTTTTTAATAAAATGAAAAACAGCGTTGATATATTAATGTGTTTTCACTTCATTAGCACATCTATAAAATGTGTAATTTTATTTCCCAACAAAAGTAAAAATAATAATTTATTTAAAAAAAAAAATTATATAGAAAAAATTTATGCAATAATAGATAATAAAAAACTAATGTGTATGTAATACTAGCATAAGTGAAAGCTATGCAAAATAGAATTTGCATAAAAAAATATATTTTTCCATTATCCTTACTTTAATTTTTCCTTTTATTAATTATAAATTATAGAAAAAATCAACGAATTATATGTATATATTTATAAATAAATGCAAATATATATATTAAATATTTATTTTACCTATAAATGTTTTCATAATTGATTGAAACCATCATAAAAATATTAGAAATTTTTTTTTTCTATGTAGAAGAATAAAAACTTTGTGCACTCAACTTCTTTATTTAAATTTTATTTTTTTTATTTTCATTTCTTAAAATATCTTTATGCACAAACTACACACTTTAACGCACACAAAAAAGAAATTTTTTAAGAAATATTTAGGTGAATACAAGAAATTTTATAACAATTAAATTATTCTTTAATTTAAAATAATATAACTATTTAATATATAGAAAAAGAAAAAATATTAGTTTTTAATTTTTTTCAAAACAAAAAATAAAAATATAAGGTAATTTATAATTTAAAATTAATATTATATATAAAAATAACTTGCAAAATATTAAAAAATTACGAATCTTCTTAAAAATTAAAAGAAAAAATAAATATTCATAACTAATGTAGATCTTAAAAGATACTAACTATATTTTTTTTCATATACTTTTTACATAGATTAAAAAAAAAAAATAAAAGACATACAATTTTCTTTTTACATATGCATTGGAATATTGAATATCGATATAAAAATAAAATCTATTAAGATGTTTACGCGTTATAAAAAAAATCTAGAAAATATCTATCTATTATTTTTTATCTAAACTCATGTTCTTTCAAAAAAAATTTTTTCTTCTTATTTTAAAGTGAAAAAAAGTTACTTCTCTTTATGTATAAATATGTTTAATATATATATAAAACATATATACAAAAGGGAAAATAAAAAAAACAGTTTGATAAACCTACTGATTATTTTAATATGTTGCCTTTTTATAAAATTTTTTATTTTAGAATATAAAATTTTTTTTTTGAATAAAATTTATAATGTATATATGTATAGTTTTTTTTTTTTTTTTTTTGGTTTCTTTTTAGTTGACCACATATAAATAATAATAATAAAAATATAAACAAATAATTATGAAATACCTTTTATAACATATTTTTAAATTATAAAAAATTTATAAAAAACATTACTTTTTTTTTTTTTTTTTTTATTGTTACTCATTTTCTTAATATTAATTATTCATAATATGGTTTTTATATATATCTGAAAAGTGTATAAATTATTAAAAATTTCCACTGCATCTATTTTTTATTATTTATGTTGCCTTATCACATTTACCTATCTATGCAAATTTTTTTACATGTTATAAAATTTTCTTTTATATAATCCTATAAGCATAATGATAATACAAATAAATTTTAAAATTAAAAATTAATTAAATAAAACATTTTTTTTTTTTTTTTTTTATAAGTTATAAAAAAAAAAAAAAAGAAATAATAAATTATATGATGTATCCTCTTTTATTTAATTTATTATTTACTCACAAAATAAGATTATTTTTTAAATTGTAAAAAAGAATTAACATATGTTTTAATTTATCTAAATATTTTTGTATTTTATGAAGAGTTGTTTTATATTAATAAAGTTTTATTGGTTATTTAATGAAAATTATGCATATAGAATTAAAAAATTTTAGGGTACTTTTCTTCATTTTAAGAAACATTTATAAAATATTGTTTTATTTTGGGTGATATAAAAGGAAGATGTTCAAAAATAAATTAACATTAGTGAACAAAAATTTTCTTGGTAACAAAGATAGAAAAAAGTAAGTTAAATTAGTAAATGCAGATAAAAAAATTTTATGTAAAAAAAAAAAAAAAAGAGACTAAGAAATCAAAATAAAAAATGAGTATAAATATTAAATATAGTAAAAAAAAAAATATAAAAAATTATATGAAAATGTAAACTTATAAGACATAGAAAATAGAAAATTGAAGTGTTAGCAATAAAAGTAAAAAATATAAGTGCAAAATTAAAATAGAAAAATTATAAAATTTACATAAGTGAAAAATAAAAATAATTTTTATGATTATTAATACAATTTAAAAAATTTTAAAAAATATTCTTATTTGTTCATAATTTTTTTTTTTTTTTTTTTTTTTTTTTTTTTAAAGAATATTTATAAACGTAAAGAATACATTTTTTATAGAAAGAGAAGAAGATCTAGATGATATTTTATGTAAAGAAGACACAAGTGTTTGTAAAGTACAAAATACAAAAATAATTGTGTATATATCGAAAAATATTCCAGTTTTATTTTGTGTTAATAATGTTATTTATCCAACTGTTTATACATTATGGAAGTTTCCAAATTTAATTCCATGTTTTGTAATATATCCACCTGCATCAGAATATTTATTAAGGGGTGCAGATTTGATGATCCCAGGGATATGCAAAGAAATTAATAATCTAGAAAAACTCAAAGATGGGAATGTTTGGGGAGTAAGAGTTTTTAATAATCCCTACATATTTGCTGTAGGACAATGTTTGATTGAATATAAAAATAACAAGGAATTGTACAATTCAAAAGGGAAATGCTTAAAATTAATTCATATATTTAATGATGAGTTATGGAAACTAGGTCCCCAAATTGTACCAGATAAAAGCTTCAAAAATAAAGTGATAGATTCTGTTGAAGATATAGTAGACAATTTCGAAGATTTTAAAATATATGATGAGAGCAAGGGAAAAAATGAAATAGAAAAGGAAAAAAAAAAAGAAAACAAAAAAGATTATTTTGGATGGGGAAGTGATGTAGATACAGATCAAGAAAAGGAAAATAGTTCTCAAAAATTTATTGATAAAAATAATGTAGGAAAAAAAAAGGAAGAGGAAGCAAAACGTAAAAGTATATCAAATGAAAAATACTTAGAAAATTTTTATAAACACTTTAAAGTATTAATTGAAAAAAATAATGAAAAAAAAAATATTTCTTATTGTTTAAATCATGATAATAATAAAGACAAACAACAAAATAATACTACTGAACAAGTAATAAAAGTAAATAAAACAAATAAATTGGAAGAAGATAATGAAAAAAAAGAGTGTGTTATTGATTTTTGTGAAATTGAAAAAAATTTAGATTTAAATGAATCGGATGAAAGAAATTATAATGAATATATTAAAAATGATTTAAATAATCATGAATATTACGAAAAAAATAGTAACAAAAAAAGTAATACTTCTTCAGAGGATGATTTTGATAGTTGTAACCAAATAAAAAAAAGTCAACACACAAATAAAGATTATGAATATATGAAACAGGAGGAATTAAAAAAGAGAAATAATGATTTGGAAATTAATAATAATTCAAGTGATGAATTCGAAAAAAAAAAATTTATTAAAAACGAATATAAAGACGACATAACGGAAGAAGAGATAACTGGTACAGTGGAAATAAATAATAAACAGTTGTTTGAATTAAATTGTGAACAGCAGGATTTGTTGATGTTATATTTAATGTTAGAAGTTTTATATTACATAAATGATGATAATTTGCCACTTGATGTTTCTGGTGTTTATAGTAGAATGACTAAAGAATGCGCATATATTCATAGGAATAAAAAATTTCTAGGAGAGTTACATAAATGTAACGTATCTTATGATGATATAAAAAAAATTAAGAATAATGAAATATATATAACATTAGATGTAAAAAAATCAAGTTATAAAAAATTAATAAAATTTATTCAGAATTGCGTAAAAATAAAATTGATAAAAATTAAAGAAAAAAGAAACATTGTATCCATAGTAAATATTCATAAAGAAAATCCTTTATTAGCATCATATGAGCCAACACCAACTAATGCAAAAAAAAAAATTGAAAACGAGGATGAAAACGAAAATATAAAGACAGATTTAATTAATAAAGGGCCGCAAGTATTAGAATTTTATATGCCAACAAATAAAACGTTAGATATATTTCGATATGTAGATATTAAAACCGAAAAAAATTCTTATTTTAATATAACTCAATTAAAAGATATATTTAAATCATATATTAAATTAGAAAATTTGCAAGATAAGAATGATATGCATTTAATAAACATAAATGAAACATTACATTCATCTTTATCTATCGATGATAATATTGATAAATTACCTTATGAAACAATTTTAAATCAGTTTATTTCAATTCAACAACCATGTTATTCAATAATTAAACCTTATGCAAATTTTGATATTGAGCCAATTAAAATAATAAAAGGGGTATGCCCATCCGTTCATATTTATTCTATTGCAAGAATGAGAGGGAAAAAATTCGTTACACATATAACAAATTTATATTTATTTCATTTAGATCTTAACAAATTTTCTGAATATTTACAAAAGCAACTAGCATGTTCATGTACTATTGTAATTTCTCCATCAACAAAAAAAGAAGAAGTATTAGTTCAAGGTAATGTAGTTAATCAAATATATAAAATTTTAGTAAATAATTACTATCTTCCAAAAAAATACATAGTATTAAACGCAAAATAAATGTAAAACTAATAATACTCTTTTGTCTTTAAGGAGATAATAAGTGTTTAGTTTAAAGAAAAAAAAAAAAAAATGAAATAAAATTTTTTAAAAATGACTTAAAAGATATTAGGAAATAAGAGTGAATAATTATAATAGAGTAAGAAAAAATGAAATAATGTTTCTGCTTTTATATATTTAATTTAAAGTAAAAATAATAAAAAAAAACTACGTTACAAATACATTAATATATTTATTTTTGAAACGATAATTAAAATAAACTTATAATAAATTTTTTATTCCTACATAATTATTAATACATTAACAAAAACTAATTTTGAAACCTTCAAAAATATAATTTCATGTTTATAAAAATGTAATATTATAATATTAAAACTTTTATTATTTTTTATGAAAACATATTTCTCTATGTAATCTTTAAATGGTAATATTTATATATATATATAAATGTTATTAAAATTTGTCTCTTATAAATTATTCTAATAAATATTTCTTTTGAGTGTTCTTTTTGTTTTAATAAAAAAAAAAAAAAAAAAATTGAAAGCAATTAGTGTAAATAATAAAACATGTATATTTTCTTATATTCATAATCACAAAATAATTCATAAAAAATTTATATAATATCTATATATATATATATACAACTAACAAATAATAAAATAAAAATATATAAAAATAAATATATGAATTATTTAAGAAAATAAAAGAAAAATATAATAAATACGATTGATACACTAATTTTAAATGACACAATAAAAGTAATCAATTAAAAAAAAAAAAAAAAAAAGGGAAAAAAATATTTAACACGCTTTTATATATATTTAATATATTTTGTATATTTATTAGAATTTTTTAACTTCAGAAAATTGTTGAATTTTGCATTTCTCTATAAACTAACATAATACCTAAATTTAAGCAATTGAGCTTATGAACATAAATTTTGAGAAAATATATTAATCCTTTCGTTGTTCCATATATACATTTCTAGAAATTTTATTTTTAAACATATTTTCATTTATACTTACCTACATTTAAAATGTCATTCTATGATGTGCATCTTCATTTTTTGGTTTGACAACTTTCTCCCAATTTTTATATAATAAATCGTAAAGCATAATGTAATTATTTCTCATATCTATGATAGTAATTTTTATATGAATCCATTCTTTTTCATCTAATTCTCTAATAGCTTCTTGATAATCGTAAACATTGGGATATTTTATAACTTTTGTTGATAATTTTGCTCTTTCCATATAATATTTTACAATAGCATCATATAAATTAAATGCGCTTTCCTCTACTCTTGCCAATTCTTGAATTGCTTCCTCTTGAATTCCTACCCCAAAATTATTACCATCTTCTATTCTAGGTACATTTAATTGTATCCATAACTTAATATTTCCAATTACTTCTATTAATTCAGATGCATATGCTTTTATTTTTTCTAATTCTGCATATATCTGTTTATGGGAAGGTACATAATGGGTATACAAAACTTTTTCATCAATTGTAATTTTTTTTTCTTCATGATTTGGATAATTTTTCATATTATAATCTAAAGTATCTTTTTTTTTTTCTCTATCATCTAAATCGTTAACTTTATGTTTTTTTCTAACATTTTCTTCTATATGATTTATTTTATATTTATATGAATTACTATCTAAATCTTTTGTATCCAAAATTGTTCCTGGTTCTGAATTCACATTTACTAAATTGTTAAAATAAATTATTCTTTTTGGTATTCTTTCCTTTAATGATTCTATGGCTTGTTTAGTGACATCATACTTAAATTTATTATACTCTTCTCTTATTTTTGGATCACTTGGTTCTATTTTATCTATTTTATTTAACAAACTTTCCATTTCAATATATATTATTGTATTTTTTTTATTTGCATATATATTTATATAAATATATCATAAAATTTTAAAAATTTTAACCTGTTAGTTGTTTATCTGTTTTTCTATTTAATCAAATATATTATATTTACATATATTTATATCATACATATGCAATTCATGGTTATTTTAAATATCATTTCCTGATTATTTTATTTAATATATATATAAAAATATACTTCTTTTTATTTTTCTGTTTCTATTTCTTTATCTTTTTCTTTTTATTTATTTATTATTTATTATTTTTTTATTTTATTTTTTTTTTTTTATATTATGACATACTTATGCTTTCTTATTTGAATATATTTTGAAATATATTAGTTATTTTATTAATTAAAAGAAAGGAATAAAAATAATCCATTAAATTTTTTTTAATCTGTAACATATATATTATTGATATTTTATAAAGTTGAATTAAATCTGAAAAACCTTTAAAAAACTATTAATAAAAAATATTTTAATTATATATGCCTGTATAAATTCATATACATCTGTATTTTATTACTCATATATATAAAATTATTTAAAATTTTTAATTTTTACTTAATTATTTTCTATATAAAAATATATTTCTTCTATATATGTTTATGTAAATATAATATATATATTTGTTAAAAATATAAATTTATCTAAAAATATAAGAAAAATATAATAGATAAGCAAAAATTTAATTTATATTTTAATATATTAAAAATTTTTTAACTAAATAATTTTTCTTTTTTTTTTTAGCTAATATACAAATTATATAATATGAAGTTTTTATATTTTAAATTACAAACTTATAAAAAAAAAAAAAAAAAAACGTTTATTTTTCATGTATAAATGTTTGTATTAATTAAAAAACATAGAAAAAAATATATTTTTAAAGATTTTTTAATTTAAAAAAAAAAAAAAAAAAAAAATATAATGCATAGTGGGAATTTTTAATTATTATTTTTTTAGTAGATTTTTTTGTTATAAAATTATTCTTCAACTTGTTTTTTTTTTTTTTTTTTTTTTTTTTTTTTAATTTTNTTTTTTTTTTTTTTTTTTTTTTTTTTTTTTTTTTTTATTATTGAATTTTACTAAACACATATATAACTTAACTTTGTTTTTTTACACTTTTTTTTTAATTATATATACTCCTTTATAAAAAATTAAAATTTTATATATAAGTTATTTTATTATATTAATTTTTATTTTTTAGTTTTTCTTTATAATTACAAATGTATGTATTATACTTGTAAATATGTATTTTTGTATGCAGACCTATTAAGTTATAAAAAGCACTTTTTTTATTTTAACACTAATTGAATCTTTATTAAAATGCAAACTATTTTATTGATATTTATAAAAAGATAGTTTTTAATTCATAAAATATGTTATTTTTAAGATGAATTATAATTTAATATTCTTTTTTAATTAACATAATTAGCAACCTATTAAAAGAAAAGATAAAATGAGTTCTTATATGAAAGTTACATTCTTATTTAAGAAAAATAAGAAAAAAAATAGAAGAAATTTATAAATAAAAGAATATATTTTATATCCAATTTTTTTTTATTTTTATATTAAATATATTAATAAAATTAACAGAATGCATAAGAATTTTATATTTTTTTTAATAATTTTTTTTTTTTTTTTTTTTATAAAATAAATAAAGATGTTTATTAATAGTTATAAAAAATTATGAAGTATTTCTTACTTGTATTAATAATATTTATTTTTTTTCTAGATTTTTCAGATGGAAAAAAAAATATAATAAGTAAACAATTGTACTTGAATAAAATAAATGAGAATCTAAAAGGAAAAATTAATTATATAAATTTTTTAAAAAATAAATGTATAGAAAAAGAAAAAAAAAAACTATATAAGTTCCTATTTATAAAAATGAATAGTAATTTTATTAAAAATTTTCATACTTTCAAATTAAATGTTCGTGGAAGCACTGATATCAAGCCTAAAACAAATAAATCAATAGCTAAACGATTTAAAATAACAAAAAACGGAAAATTAATTAGAAAAAAAGCAGGTAGAAATCATATGTTAAGAAAAAAAACATCTTCTAATAAATCATCGTTAAGGAAAAGAACTACAATAGCATCTAATAGAATAGCAAAAAAATATAAAAGTGTTATTTTTAAATAATCTTCATTTTATGTATATTTAATTTTTTTTTTATTTCAAAATGATATTCTTTATAAATTACCCTCATTTAGGTTTTTCTTAATATTTTTTTGTTTAATTTGTTTTACATATATATTTACACTTTTATATTTACTGTGTTGCATAATTTTTTTTATTTTATCATTTTTTTTTTTTTTTTTTCTAAATTGTATAAACTTATAAAATGATTAAAAAGAAGATTGAAATTATTAAAAAAAAGTATAGTATAATATTATATTCAATTTTTTTAAGTGATATCTTCAAAAATAAAAATACATAAATACATATATATATTATGATGAATAATATTTTTTTACATAAAGTTGTGATAACAAATGCTATCTATGTTGGTATTCAACTAAAGATATAATTTAATATAAATATTTAATAATACAAATAACTTAAAGTTTACAAAAAAAAAAAAAAAAAAAAAAAAAATAATCTCTAAATTTAGTAAAATTTAAAAAAAAATATCAGTTGGTTTATACATATTTATACCATTAAAATTTTCTGTATTATTTCAAGTAATTCTAATANTTTCTTTTACAATAAAAAAAATTTTTTTTTTTTTTTTTTTTTTTTTTTTTTTT